AGGGTCCTCGAATCGGTCAGAAAATTTGTTCAACAGGGCTGGGGGCGGGACCGCGAATGACAGAGGACCTCTTGCGTTGGCCAGGTCCCTCTGACAACAAAAGGAGGTATTATAGCTTATGACGATTGCTCATGTCGAGGCAATGTGAGGGTCCTGTGTCAATCAGCCCCCCCCCCCCCCCCCTGTACCGACCCATCCTTCCTTCACTATAGGGAGCCCACTGCCCAACCGCTCAGCCGGTGACTCGTCCTTCTCTATCGGGAACTCACTGCCCAGCCGCTCAGCCGGTGACCCATCCTCCTCTTTCGGGAGCCCAGTGCACGGCGGTTTTGCTGCCCGGTCGGTAGGCTCTGTTGGACTGTAGCCGCCACGACGGGGGGGTCAGATTTTTCATCTGCTCTCGGGTGTTGCTCGTCACGGCTAATGAAGCACGACTCCCGTGGGTGACACCCGCGTCTAGGCGCACGGTCGCGTGTAAAGGCGGAATGCTCCAGACTGCAGCCACGACTCTGCAGTCGGGCCGGAATGCTGGTAACGCAGCAGCGGCCAAACTATCCGCACAGTTAGGACTGCCGCCCAGCTGCTTTGCTCAATAACGCCGAGGAATTCCGTCGGAGGATCGCTCGCCGGCGCCGCTCGCGCTCGACGCGGGCAGGTTTTGAACGCGGGAGGAGGCCAGGGGGACGCCATCCCAGGCAGGCCTGACCTGATTGAGACGTCAGCGAAGGGTCGCCGCCGGCGCCCGCCCAGCATCGATGCTCGAGCGTGACAGTGTTTGAAATGAAACAATATCGGCCGCAAATTTAATAAAGTCCGCGCGGCGCGGTCGGGACGGCCGGCAATATGGCGTAGTTACCCTGTGATGGCCTGCGGGCCGGTGAGAGCAGGACAGTACGGGGTCATCCCGACCTGCTCCCCCCCCCCCCCCCACGCCCGCCCCTCCACCTACGTCCCAGTCTGCCCGGCCGACGAGGAGACAGTGTCTGGACGAGGTGAAGATAATGCCATTCGCAGCGGTGGATCGTTGGCCGAAGCTCCGCCGGTGGTCTGCCGTAGGCACCTTGAAAGCTGGCGAGAAGCTGGGCAAACGACACTGGTGGCTTTGTGATCTGCTCGATGTGGTGCCAGGTCGGTGTGAGACGCGGGGTTGGTGTCATGTCCGTGTCATGTCCGTGCGTGTATTTGAGCGACCCGAATATACACATGGACATCACACCAACCTCGCGTCTCTCCACTCAACTCGAGGCTATTAATGCCCATCATGGCAGAGATGTACTAAGGTGAAAGAGACGAGCATACACGGGCATACGATATAAAGGCGTGTGCAGGCATACAAGCATGCAGACATCTGCACGAGCGTCGTTGCATGTCACTGAATTGCCGTTGATCACTTAGCGCTTCAGATACCTAGTGACGGTTACGACCGGTGGTCGCTTGAGGCTGCACGGCACTGCGTTGTACAGCTCAGGTGCACGGGAGGGAAGACGACGCTTTTCCATCTCAGTGTGGGAGCGGAGCACAGCCAAGTCACTGGCCTGTCCCGTGAGTCGCAGGGGGACATCACCCGCGGTCCGTAACTGGCCGGTCAGAGGGGCCGGCCAGTTGATTGCTGACACCTCCTTTACCAGAACACTGTGTGGGATGGGGATGGTGTGGAGCCTCCCTAAATCAACAGCCCAGAGTCAGCCAAGCTTCTGAGGGAGGTTTGAAGCATGATCGGATTTTCGCGGCCGAAAATGACCTTCGCAGCAAAGCCTAATGCTTTCCGGATCTAGACAAATTACTCTGTGTGCCGTTGCCATAGACTGGTATAATGTGAGATCAGCTTGACGGTACAATGAAACGCCGCCTGTGGTCGGCCGATGTGTTGGCGTATTGGACAAGTTTCTAAAACAGCCATGGTAGTTCTTTCATAGGAAGTGTGCTGTTCTCTGACACTGTTTCTGCTCCACAACCTCTTCAGCAAACTGAAGTCTCACGCGTGCCGCCGCTTCACATCCCTGAGCCAAACTGTGACCCCTTGACACGAATAGCGTGCCACTCAATCCAGGAAGTTATAAGTAAAATCTCGCTTTTTTCATCATTGCTGCGTAAAACTTGCCAATCAGATCTCTCTTCGGTAATAGGCCGGTGCACCCCGACGGTGTCAGTGCTGCCGCATACCAGGCAGGCTTCGGCTCCGACGGTGTCAGTGCTGCCGCATACTGCCATTTCGACGGTGTCAGTGCTGCCGCATACTGCCACTTCGACGGCGTCAGTGCTGCCGCATACTGCCACTCCGACGGTGTCAGTGCTGCCGCATACTGCCACTTCGACGGTGTCAGTGCTGCCGTATACTGCCACTCCGACGGTGTCAGTGCTGCCGCGTAGTGCCACTTAAACGGTGTCAGTGCTGCTGAATACTGTCACTCCGACAGTGTCAGTGCTGCCGCATACTGCCACTCCGACGGTGTCAGTGCTGCCGCATACTGCCACTCCGACGGTGTCAGTGCTGCCGCATACTGCCACTCCGACGGTGTCAGTGCTGCCGCATGCTGCCACTCCGACGGTGTCAGTGCTGCCGCATACTGCCACTCCGACGGTGTCAGTGCTGTCGCATACCACCGGTGCACTCCGACGGTGTCAGTGCTGCCGCATACCAGGCAAGTTTCGGCGCGTTCTCTTTGTTGCCGTCTGGCCCACGTTGCGAGCGCGTCAGCCGCCTCAAAGCAAATCTCGTCAGAAAGCGGTCACTTATTCCACTTTTATGCCCCTTTGTCCGCAACGGGGACGAAGAAATTCATTCGAGCGGCGTGCTGACGAGGGGGAAAAATCGACCCTACACGGGCCCAGTTACCAGACGGCGCCATATCATTTGAATAACGCGATGTCTGCGGGGCTTAACGGGCGCCCAGAGACGGCGCTGGCCGCGTGTATGATTGGTCTGAGCACTGTGCCGCGGTCTTGGGTGCCCCCCTGTGCCACCGACCGATAGCGCGGTACATTAGCGCCGCTCACAGCTAGGGGCTTTATAGCGGCATTAAATCCGGCCGGGGCTGCGATGCTCTCAGGCCAAAGCGGAGGCACACCACTTCCCGCCAGAACCATTGAGACGTTTACGTGCCGATTGTGATGGATGCGAATGGCGACGTCGAGCCTGTGGAGATAAGGGACACTGAGGAGGCCTGGCGTGACTCGTGGCGTTTGTGCGTGTCCCCTCAGACCTCTAATCCGCTCATGTTCTTTGCTAAGTAACCGTAACAGAGTTACTGCAGTTCGATGTTGAGCACGTTTTTTGCTATGATGCCGCTGTCAGTCAGCCATGTGTCGGCATGCTAGGCATGTTGCCATAGAACGTGGTAAAAAAAAAAAACGCTCTATTGTGAAAATCACGATTAAAGGTGAGCTGCCAGTTTGACCGAAACACACCTTAGAGGGGGTGTCCCACAATTAAGAAGATATTGAGGCAAGCATGATGGAAAAAGCTCACTTTCAACTTTTGGTATGCTTATATGTGCATGTGCGTGTGTTCTGTAGCTTCTCTCGTGCTGTTCCTGTACGTGTTTCCGTGATGGCACGTGATGCTTTTACTCGCATTTACATTCCTGGTTGCGTAACTATTCACGGATTATTCGATTTCCGGCGTCATGCCCGCCGTGACCAGTTGAACCACTCAATTTCCTGTATCACGTGTCACCGAAGGTGGTTCGCGTTCGCAATCCACTGTTTTAACGTCGTTCTCGCTCTATCCCGCATCCCCGGGACATCTCGCTTCTCCGGGGCAGGCCACATGCGCCACGCTCGAGTGGGACGAAGTGGCCCCTGGTGGCCTTAGTCCGAGCGCTGAGCGCGCGCACACACCGCGTAGGGGTCGCTGTGTGGGCGAAGCCTCGGCGTATGGGTCTCCAGGTGCATGCAACCCTTCCCCACTGTTATCCGCTTTCCTTCGTTTCATAGCCCTGAAATGACCATGACGGCCGAAAGGCTCTGATCCAAATGACCAATAACCAATCGTGATCGAGACTTGCATTTCTCTGGTTGATAGCTGACTGCGGTCTGTTGATGGGACAGTTGGTACCAACGTACTTTAGACACGAATAAATCAATGGCTGTATTCGTCTTGACCTTGAAAACAATTTGGCCACTCAGGCAGAATTCGTGTGACGTTTCTCTGACATACATCTCTGGTTGACTTCCTATTAGCCGGCGCGAAAGTCTGCACCAGGTCGCGTGCGCCTAGCTAAAAAATAAGTGGATTTGGAATATTAAAATTTACATAGCTCTGAACTGCAGGAAATGATCTTAAAAACGACTCATCAGTTCAATGGCCCACACAAATGTGGAACAGTCCATTAAACGAACAAGGGTACCGCAAGGATACGGGGTCGAACGGCCTCCTGCATTTTAGAATCCTTTCGGAGACCATGTTATAAATATAAATCACTTCGTTGATAAACACTTCCTACGCATTAACTGTGAAATCAAGTGCAACGGGACTGGTTAATGTTTATCATGTTCTTGCGGGAGAAAAACTTTGCTTAGGGGGCTTTACAATTGCCGTCTACATGACAGTTGAAAACTAGACAGCATATGGGTTATGTAGCGTATGTAGCGTGTGAAAGTTCGGTGGTACATGATGATTGAATTGCCCATACGCTACGGTGCACAACAATTAAGCGCATATCAAACGATACCGGTTGAATAGATCCACCAGATGCCGTTCAGCGGTCTGACAGTGGCGTGTCAGCGTCCTCGCAGGGACCTAATATCCGAAGCAGCTCAAGACGTCCCACCAGATCCGTCATGACTGGCAGCACTCCGGCCGATTATTTGTATTGTTCCAGCAACCAATAACACCGCTGTGAAGGAGCGTCTGCATATGATCAGACAACCCGACCCTGAACACCACGCGCCCGCAGACCGGATATTGCAGGATCCGTGCACTGTTTGTTCCACAACATCTCCTCGAACACTTAGTGATGTACTCTCCGTCGTAAGCCGCGTTCGCCGGCTGCCCTCAGGTGCTGGCTGCCCACGGACGGATGCAGCACCGCTTCACAGACCGGCTGAGTCACGTGACCCGGGGCTTACGGCGCCCAGCAGGCGGCTCCCGACCAGCAGTGAAGTCAGGGGCGCGCCCAGCCGGCAGCGCCCGACCAGCAGTGACATCACGGCGCGCCCAGCAGGGCAGCGCCCGACCAGCAGTGACGTCAGGGCACGCCCAGCAGGCAACGCCCGACCAGCAGTGACGTCAGGGTACGCCCAGCAGGCAGCGCCCGACCAGCAGTAACGTCAACCGAACCAGCCGTGGTGTCACAACGTTGCGGACCGTGGCCAGTGTTTGGTGGCCCTGCCGAACTGCCAGCGCCTGTGAAACATGCCAGTACAACACGCTCCTTCAACGCCTGACGGTGCTCGGGAGGTGATCGCATGTGTTGGCCTTTTCATGCTTTCGAATGGCAGCGTTATCCCAGCTGCATGAGCACCCCAGCTTGCGGATGTCGCTTTTGTCTGCTTCGCTCAGTTTTCCGTGCGCTAAAACGCAATACATATGCTGGCCGGGTGCAAGCAGTCGGTCCTCTCGTAGTGCGGGCCGCGAGCTGGTTACGTTCCACCGCAGCGCAGGGCCCCAGGCGAGTCGACTGAGCGGCGCCCCGACCTGCGGGCTCACCGTATGCCGACACAGCCCCCGACGATCAAATGTCGCCGCTCCGATTACGGCAACCGACCTTTCTCAATTCCCGGCCGGCTGGACGGCTTCCGCCTCGCCAGACGCCGAGTGGGGTTCGACCGCAGTTGGCTGGCCAAGGAAGCGCTCTGGAACACACACACTGCACCTCGTAGCACGCGGCTACGCGCTGCAAGGTGCAGTGTGTGTGTTCCAGAGCGGCTACGGCTACGCGCGACCTGTCCGGCTCCCAGCGCCGTGCCACAGCGTCCGTGTGTGGGCGGCGCCGAGTGCGCCGGACGATGAGATGAGTCACCCCCGTCGCGCCCCGGGCGAGGCGCTCTTGCTCTTGAGTTCCCCTGGTGCGCTCTCGGTGACCGGCGCCGGATGCGCGGGCAACGAGACTCGTCACCCGCCGCGCTCCGGGCGAGACGCTCTCGCTCTTGTCGAGTTCCCCTGGTGCGCTCTCGGTGACCGGCGCCGGATGCGCGGGCGACGAGACTCGCCACCCGCCGCGCTCTGGGCGAGACGCTCTCGCCGGGGTGCCCCGGTCGCCACCGTTATTGCGCAGATTCAGCCGGGCCGTCGCGGCGTGGGTCGCTTGCACGCCATGATTCGCCCGTTGCATATGAATAGTGGTCAATTGCACGCACGGCGCGGCGGCCTGGCGGCCATTGTGGTGCGGTGGCGTGCTCTCGGATGGCGCCTGGGCCAAGTGGCGGTGCTTGGGGCGCGGAGGAGACGGCGTCGGACTGCGCTGGGGCCGCGCCAGCTCCGGCCGATCTCGGGCGCTGATGGGGGACGGCGGCGCTTGGCGCGGGCGCCGGGGAAATGGTGCGGGGCGGAGGCGCTTCCAGCCGCTCCATAGTGGCGCATTGGCGGGGATGTCGGCGGTGTAAAAGGCTCAGAAAGCGAGTTGTCTTCGCTGATTGCGAACCAACTCGTGGAATAGCCTGAAAGTCACGCGGGTCGAGGGAGCCGTCGAACGCCAATTTCGGAAAGGAGATCTGATTCGGCACAATATTCGCCGTCGGTGGCCAACGCCCCGATCATTCGCGCAGGCTCTGGGGTTTGGGGATGTCGGGACGGCTAGTGCATTGAGCAGCTGGCGTGCTGCGAGGCACACGATGCCTGCACACGAAGTTTATTTGACGGACGGCACGGTCTGTTTATTCCACCAGTACGGTAATTCGTTCTCTGGTTGCTTGGTATGGTAAGTCGATAGCTGATTCCGTTCCGTCTCTCTTTATAGAGCGCCATATCGAACGATGTTATGTCTATGACAAAGCCCGTACATGTAAAGATGTTGTCACACAACACTACAGCGTGGAAGATTGACTAAGTCATACCTAGGTTTAACATCACTGCGTTTGTTTACATTACTGTTTTTATCACTCCATTGTGATTCTTCGTCGCAGACGAGCATTTCAAGCATGCTCTGGGAAGGCGATTGAAGTAGTCCATATCACAGCCCCTACACCACTGATGTACTCATGTTACTTCCAATAATTCCGCGCCCCCTTCCCCTTTGCTCGCGGGCGCAAAGGCACCACTTTTTGGAGGGTGGTCAGACCAGCAGTTAGGTCGGTTCTCACTGTAAAGGGTCTCCCTTATACAGTATGCATTGCATTACGTTTCTGCTTATGCATGCTACCCTTTTGTCGTAATTCGCTATAATGTACTCATACAAATTCCAGGAACGCAAACGATGGATTACTTTAATGTTGTGCACGCAACAAATAGAATGCATCTGTTAGGGCCAATGACACGTTATGAAGTCATCAGGTTACGAACGGAAGTCATCTAAAACAACTCGGTAATTGCTGAGCCAACTTAATTTTTGGCTGCGTTCTTACGATAAACCCGGGCACACGTCATGTTGGGCATAGTGCTTAATCGTCGTGAGTAATGCAATACCGCACGGTGTTTTTACCTTCAGGGTTATTTTTGCAATATGTTTTACCGCCCCACTGGCCAGGTTGCCTTTAAGTATGGAAATAATTCGGCGAGGAAAGATGAATTGCTGAAAACATGTGCTGTAAGTTAGTTTTCATTCGCAATCCAAATATGCATGTCATTTTTATTGCAAACGTCCTATTGTTGGCCTTTTCATGGTGAAACTGAGGTCGCTGACCTGCAGGGATGGATCAAGGATCCTGTCAAGGAAAGGGCCACGCTTCACTTTGCTTTCCGCCCTCGCAAAAGTCCACGGATTCCGGTCACTTCATTTTCAGTTTCTTACTTTTAATCGAGAAATTACCTTCCTCTGTGCATGGTAGATGGCTAGGCATAAAAGGTACATACATACATGGCATACGTTTTTCAGAGACTGATGCCCTTTCCATTCTGAGCTAAGAAGATGGGGAAAAACGGGTTAAAGTTTTCAATCGAAATCAGACATCACAGCACGACTTGCGTCACTGGCCGTCCTTAGCTCACTCAAGCTCTTTAGCTCACTTTAGCTCACTGGCCATCTTAAGCTCACATGCGATGAAACCAGCAGAAAGTTGCATTTTGTAGGTCACTGACCTTGCAGTTAATGGTCGAAAGCGAAAATATTGGCTTGCTCCTTAATTGTAAATCATATTGACTCACAGGATTTCGCGTGACGCGAATATTGTTGTAGCAGAAGGCGGCGAAGCCAGTGAAATTCGTAGACTGTTGACCAATCTACTTTCTGGCAGTAAAACATATGGCCAGTTCCTTGGAACATGCGGAATGCTTGTGCTGTTAACGTGGAAATAAGTAAACCTTACGTTGAATGTTTTGAACATCGTGAAGGAGTGCGAAGTTCGGGCCAAAGAAAGTGACTCCAACGATGTATAAGTAGTATGAGTATCTGACTCAACAAGTGCGGATACCAGACCTGCGCCGCCCGCGCATGGCATATCTTGCAATCGGATGCGAAAGTTTGTCGGCACACACCGCTCCTGCTATCTGCGAGACCGCCGAGACGAAATCGACATCATGTATGCTTCGAAATTCTGCATCTGTATTTGTTGGGTCAAACTAGTGCCGAAGCAAACATGCCAGGGGGCATGCGCAACTTTGTGGCGCGTAAGACGCATTTGTGCTGTTGCTATCCTCAAATACATTTATCACGCCCAGTGTGTCGCGTATTAAAAAAGTGTGTTAAATGACGTGTTCAACTAGGTGCATGCACGGGTCATTTGTTCAGACTGTCATCGGTCGGTCATCTAAATGTAAAACGTGATTGCTAATTCAACGAAAAACAGCTTTTCGTGGCGCCAAAGCTGAGCGACTGATTGGCACGTGTTTGCATATACTTGCATGTGTATGGTTTGGGTATCAGCGGCAAATCTACTCCACCCGCTCTTAAGGTCCGCCCTTATCGTTCATATTTGTTTTTATTATGGACATATTCACATACTATTGTTGTCATGCCGATGGATTTCGCTGCAGGTGGGTATTGGTCAATGTAAAGCGTACATCAAGTTGTACCTTTCTGTGAAGATCCAACTGCTATATTAAAACAATAATGTCATACGGGCGTGAGGAATATGATGTCCTCCTTACTGCTAGCGCTAACCAGGGCCGACCCCCGGATCTCGTCAAGCGGATGCTCAGACACTGCGACCTGGGACGCAGCCAGAGCCACGGTAAGAGAGGTGCATTGCGCTTAACAAAGGGTAAGGGCTGGTGGAAGGGCAGCAGGAAAACTGATCCCGAAAATAAGAAATAAGAAAACAATGATTCGCCGAATTAAGTCTGCTACATTTCGAGGAATCCATTGTCTGAAGTTCTTTTTTATGTTTAACTTAGCCTGAGTGAACCCTTCATGCTGGAAGATGCACTTCTGCACGCATTTAGAAGTAAATCAATTTGACTCATTCAGAAATGAAATGGCTACATAGAATAATTCGCGGGCGCTATTCACTTTACAGTGGTTCCTCGGACGCTTTGTGTCAGGCGGTAACAGTTTGCGTTGCTGCTAAATTTTCGCGGGGAATTCAAAGATGCCCAATTTCTCGGGAGGTTTCAACGACGAGGGCCCGTTGGTCAAACCCCAGCGTAGATCAAAACAGGGCAAAACCTTTGCAACAATATGTCCAATCGTGGTTAATTGGTTTAGCATGCACATTTGACATACTTCGCTGAAGGGGCCAATCTGGGGTTTCTTTAGGGTGAAAGGCACAGAAGTTGTGGTGTCATGGTATTTTGGTGTCTCTCGATTGTAAGGGTTTTTTGGTTCTTTAAATGGCCCGTTTTGGGTTTGGTGCCTCTTGGGAATGAAGATAATGGTGCCCCTAAAAGAAACTTTGTGGCGCTCGCCAAATAGGCCGCCCCAAGATGTCAATGGGGAGGTGTCGCATTCCAGTGTTTGCTGGAATTTAGCGCGTCTTGAAAATAAAAGCTATGTACTTGAGAAATACAACTTTTGCTGCCCTTTTATCATGGAATTTCGGTGCG